CTCCAGCTCAATCTGAGACATTCCATCACGCCTGAAGGCAGAGTTGCTTGAGCACATTATGTGTGCGCACAGGACTCTGAGACCTCGGAGACAGAACGCTCCTACACCAGGCGACACATTTAATGGTGGGCTACCGCGCATCTACATGCGACATCCCCTAGTGTCACCTGGCTCTCTTGGCCAGGGTCACTACTGTGCAACGAGACGCAGCCTTAGACGCATGTGTTTTCTCCGGCAAGCAAGTCAGGGGCACAGACTGGACATCTTCCACCCTCTTTGTTTGGGGAATGGTGGGTACAGTCTCAAAGCTTCGAAGTGCAATGAACCAGAGGGCTCAGATCGAATCCGCTAGCCAGTTGGCCCTGCCAAGGGTAAGCGGAGGGCACCCCAAGCACAGAAAACTCAATGGCCTAGGGCGTTGTCTGCTAGCCAGAGTCAGCCAGGAGGCAAGCGCTCATACCCTTCCACGGGAGGGAAGAGTAGCGATGCGCCCCCAGGGAAGAAAGGGTCAAGTGGTGGCTCCTCACCCTCCTCGGGTGGTCGTCTACCCCGGCAGCGGGGGAAGCGTGTTTGACGCTTACCTCTGTGACCAGGGAGACAATGCATGTGTTCGGCGAGTGGCCAGGTCACTACTTAGTGACTACTTCAGGCCTTGGTGAAACTCACCTCATGGAGAAGAGAGCAACCACACCTCGCAACTACCGAACCCTCATATCCCTATCGTACACGCCGGTGTACTCCAGTTTGGAGACAGCGGGTGACCGATCTCTGGACCTTTCCAGGTGGTGAGATTCTGTTACAGGATACCTCTGAAATCTCCATCTCCCCTGTCAGTGTCTCCCCTATTGGGCACTGCCAGGGGACTCCCGCAAGGCGGGAGCAATCAGGCATGAAGTAGCAGATTGCTGGAAAAGGGCGCCAAACACAAGGTAGATCTACCCAAATGTGTTCGTAGTACCAAATCTACAGGTGGCGGGCGTCCAGTTCTGGACCTAGGCAGACTAAATCAGTACGTGCTCCTCGATCAGTTCCACATGGAGACGCCATTCAGGGTTCTTCTCTCCATCCACCATTTCGACTGGGTAGCCCCACTAGACTAAAGCGGAGTCTATCTGCACATAGCGATGCACCCAGCGAGTTGCCATCTCCTTCGAATCGCCCAGCTGGGCCAAGTATTCGAATTTTGGGTGCCCCTCATTCGGGTTATGCACAGCGCCCTACATGTTCACCAGAGTGATGAAACAGGTGGTGCTGCTGCTTCACCAAATGTCGGTACACCTCAATTCGTACCTAGACGACTGGTTACTACGCAACCCGGACAAGGGGTTATTAGCCAAACACGTCTGGGTAACACAGGATTTACTTCACCAGTTGGGATTTACTTCACCAGTTGGGCTCTTTAGTAAATTGACAAGTCCCATCTCGACCCTATGTGCAGTTGGTGTTCCTGGGCATGGAGTTTGACACAGAGATAAGCTTGGTATAGCTATTTCAAGCGTGTTGCTGAGCGCTAAGCAGTCTAGCCGAATGTCTAGTCAGCTTTCCCTTAGTGTCTCTCCGAGAACTAATGCGGATCATCGGAATGATGACCTTGGTTCGAAGGGTGGTTCCCCAGGCCGCACTACACAGCTTGTGTATAACGCTTGTTGTTACAACGCCGAGCTCTCCTATAGGAACTAGATAGGCGGATTTTGATCTCGAACCAAGTGAAGGAAGCTCTGCCCTGGGTAGTCTCCAGAACATGAAGTGGCTGATACCCCAGTGGGTAGCCTCCAGGCTGTTTTGGCTGTGGGATGGTCCAATGTTTGTCGCACCCCTGAATGCCAAGCCGACTGACTCCAGAAGCCTGGGCCAGAGTCGCTTTGCAAACCCCATGAACCCACTTAGTTGTGTATGCCTTTCCTCCCTTCCCGCTAGTTCACCGGGCACCAGGGAAAACTTCACATCTGCATATTGTCATTGGTCGAACCCAATTGGCCAAGCAAGACTTAGTTTCCACTTCTGTCGGAAATGCTAGTCGAAACACCAGTAGTGCTTCCGGACTTTACCAGACCTGCTGTCCCAACCAGATGGCATGCTTCCAACGAGCCCAGCGGGTATCACTTACATGAATAGAGGCTCTCATTAGACCCACACATATGAAAGCTTTATCTGAGTGGGCTGCCAACATCCTGGCCAGGGTGAACAGGGATTCCACCAATGCTGCCTACATTTCTAGGTTGCGAGCATTCACTGACTGGTGTAGCGGAAGGGAGATTGATCTATACCATCTCTCTATTGGCCAGGTAGCAGGCTCTTTCATCCACCTGTTTGACAAAGTGGCTACAGGTCGGCCTTGTCTCCCACCATTAGAACGTTAGAACAAAAACAAGTCAAGCCGATTGTCCTATTATTAAAAGACTATTTACTGCTTTCCAGACGCCAAGACCCCATACAAGGGAACCGCCCAACTGGGATTTGTTGGTTGTGTTGTCCGCTCTAAGCAGACTGCCCTTCAAATTTTTGACATGGAAAATAGTCTTCCTACTGGCCCTCACCTCAGATAAGCGTCGGCCAGAGCTGGGGGCATTGTCCTTCTCAGATTATGTACTGCCGTTATATGGACAATCAAGTTGTGCTAAAGACATAAATCGGGTTTCTCGCCAAGAACCAAATCCCAGGACATGATTCTCACCCGATCGTCATCCCCCGGCTGTCAAATTTTGTCGGCCAGGAGGGTCAAGAGGAATTGCTTTCTCTGCCCGGTTCGAGCCCAGAGTTGCTACCACAAACCATACTAAGGATTCTAGACGGGGTGCCAGGCACATGTCTTTGTGTTACGGCCCAGGCAGGCAGGATAGGCCGGCCTCCCCAACTTCCATCACCAGGTGGATTACTGTGACTGTATTAGACGTCTATAATTCTTTAACTTCCTTGACACAGAGCTTGCAGAGACACTAAGTACGAGCTAACTCACTAGTGCTAGCGTCAGGCGCCCCCCTCGAGCACACACTGAGGGCAAGCTTCTGGAGAATTCAGAACGTCTTTATCAACTACTACCTAAGAGACACCGAATCCATTGAGAAGGGTCTTTTTAGGTTGGGTGTTGTCGTAGCGGGTCAGACTTGGTTTACTGACTTAGCCCAAACGACCACAAGGGTTCCTGCGCATAAGCAATAAGTCAGTCTCAGCATTTTTGCGGACAGATTTCTCTACCTTTACTTCGAAAGCCCACTACCCTCGGAACTGGGTTGAGGTCTAGCTTTCTTGGGCACACCAAATCCTGTCACTGTAGCAGCATTTTGGCTTCTTGCTCCGGGGAAAGCACAGGCACCACCCTTTTTGGGTCTTAACTAAGGTGTTGAGTGTTTCATCCCGGACTGGAAAAAAACTTTCATCATTTTTCTGTTTGCTCGGAAAACCTGCCACCTATCGGCGTCTGACTCTGCCTACAGTTCAAAATAGTCAATTGAACATAGTGAACCCGCCTATTCACATAGTTCATACCCACCATAGACTCCGGGTCCCCCTAACCACCCCACTCTTTCCTTAGCATTGGTCTAAGACCTCGAGGCGGAGAGAAAGAAAACAGAGTGATTAGCCAGCCTTATGGCCTCGGTCACGTCGTTCGTGACGTAAAGGAAAAGAATCTTGGGGTCATGGGGCTTCCACTGACCTAGATTCTATTTCTCCGTCATTGGCAGAATCGCTGATTAATGCCTACAGTTCAAAATAGTCATTTTGACTGACCGGAGTCTGTGGTGGGTATGAACTATGTGAATAGGTGGGTTCGGAGAACCCTCTGACTGCATTTGACGTTCTTTTCGTAACAGTATTTACGGATCTAAATTCGTGATTGTTTGGGTGGGCAGTACGAAAAACTTTGGATCAATGCTGCTAAAAGTAGCAGTTGTGTCGAAATAGTTTTAAAGAGCGTGTAGTTTGGAAATTACATTCTAAAATATTTCTATTGGTGGCATCCTCGGGCGTTGAATTGTTTATTTATTTGAATTACATTATTACGAGAATAAAATCAATTGATTACAGCTTACGAAAACACCCCTTGCCGACCTTCCTTATACGTTAACATTTTTCTATGTTCTTTGTGTTGGGAATTTGTTCTTTTTCGTCAAAGCTGTGAAGAAAGATTTATAAGATAAGAAAGAAATGTTTGATTGTCCAAATGAGTGAGTCTGCAGCTCAAATCAATAAAGGCATAAACACGTAATCCTCCTTTTACGAATGGCTATGATTAACATTTGTATCTGGTTTAAATATGGTTCAAATTCATGTGAAAATTTGAAATAATCTATTCTATGGGTAGCTTCTACACAATAAAATTTGAGTTAATATTGTATGCATACTAATAATGTTGATGTAAAGGACTTGTAATGACCATCTCAATTAGTGTTGTTAAATGAATTTACATTGTAGTGTGATGACACATGGTCGACCCAAACATTAGTTACAATTCATGCTGGTTGTTTTTTTACTGTCCAAGTTCGTAAATTCTTTAATTTTATGGATAGTGTCCGAGAAACTTGTTGGGTTATTATTCTCAATAGGGATGGGATAATTTACCATAATGCTCAGAATGACCCCTTATTCCCACAGAGTCTCGTAAACTTGCTTATGTCAAAGTTGCCGAGGCGTTACCGAGGGTTATGGCATCGTTAAATTATGCCCATTTGATCCAAAATGAACAATGAATTTACGGTTATACATAAAAAGGTGGAAATTAACTGCACCAACATGTTGGCGGGAAAAGTATAGCATCCAAATAAGGTGATAAAAAAATGTCAACACCAACCAACTAACAATTTCTCCAAATAATTTAAATTATGATGCTGGTCGTCGTCGCGCCGCGTTCTCTTCAAGGCAAATCCTATTTGACGGAATTCGGAATTCTGGCCGGAGTACAGAATACTTGGCAAGAATGCAATGCTGTTAACTAGAGCGCCCCAACGATTCTCTTCTATATGATACTTACTATAAAATTATTATTACCTGCACTAGAGTGAAGTAGCGTTCAGTGAGGTATGAAATAAATACGGCGAAACTAGTGAACGCTACTCCCAGCAAACGCCAGAGAAGGTAAGTAACCCTATTTTAAAATAAGCATAACTCTCCTATTTTTAGTCAATTTAATATAAAAGTAATTAAGCAAACTGTTCCTGCATATATATATATATATATATATATATATATATGTATATATATATATATTTTATATTTTAAAATAAGCATAACTCTCCTATTTTTAGTCAATTTAATATAAAAGTAATTAAGCAAACTGTTCCTGCATATATATATATATATATATATATACCCTATTGAATATATGAGTGAACTTTTCGGTCTAAGTTGTTAGTATTAGCTTAAACTAATTTCGCAAACAAGTTTTGTTTTCGACATTTTATGCTGGACACCGTGACTGTTCACAAATGGATGAATTATTAATATGTAAGACATATAAAGGCCATCCATTACGTTTTTACCATAAATGTCATTAAAATATGTGGTAAAAGGCCCCCGTAGAGGTGGTGGCGGGTAAAGACTGGTATGTGCAAATGAAATGGAAAAGTGACTGCCGTGCGGGGATCAATTCCCAAATTAATTGTTTCTAATAGTATGAAGACAAGTGTAAAACTAAAACATGCCACCATAGTCATTCATAGTATTGGCGTTTTATTTTAATGAAATAAATAGAAAACATTTATTTATTTGCATGTTTAAACAGATATACAGTAGTAACTTTAATTCAATGTTTCAAATACAATTCTCTAATTGACCTATAACATACCTAAAATAATATTTAAATAAACGTATTTTTGATATCAAAATATCAACCAAATTATGACATTATAAACGATTAGTACTAATTTTAATATAAATTAGTCACGACCAAGGAAAAGTCATTTAATGTCTTGTTTTCTTTTTTTTTTTTTATTTATAAAGGTTAATTGACATATACAGTAATCGTCATGTTGGTCTTGGCTACCACCATGAAAGATGGACATGGTGAACTTCTTTCTCCCATGTCGACAATAATTCGAGCGACAGCCCCTCTGGCCTAATGTTTTTTTTCAGTTAAATGATTATAGCAATGAGTTTGCGTTTGACCTGGGCGTGACTTGCACTGATTACCGCCGGCGACTCTTCGTTAGATACGAAACGTACTCGACTGTGTATTACATATTTCTATGAACAACTGTATGCCGACATCACGTAATAGACTATGTATCAAATGTTTCTGTAAACATAACAACAACAACAACAACAACAACAACAACAAC